CACTTCATGGCAAATAGATGGGGAAACAGTGGAAACAGTGGCAGACTTTATTTTTTTGGGCTCCAAAATCACTGCAGATGGTGACTGCAGCCATGAAATTAAAAGACGCTTACTCCTTGGAAGGAAAGTTATGACCAACCTAGACAGCATATTAAAAAGCAGAGACATTACTTTGCCAACAAAGGTCCGTCTAGTCAAGGCTATGGTTTTTCCAGTGGTCATGTATGGATGTGAGAGTTGGACTGTGAAGAAAGCTGAGCGCCGAAAAATTGATGCTTTTGAACTGTGGTGTTGGAGAAGACTCTTGAGAGTCCCTTGGACTGCAAGGAGATCCAACCAGTCCATCCTAAAGGAAATCAGTCCTGAATATTCATTGGAAGGACTGATGCTGAAGCTGAAACTCCAATACTCTGGCCACCTGATGAGAAGAGCTGACTCATTTGAAAAGACCCTGATGCTGGGAAAGATTGAAGGCAGGAGGAGAAGGGGACCACAGAGGATGAGACGGTTGGATGGCATCACTGACTCAATGGACATGAGCTTGAGCAAGCTTGGGGAGTTGGTGATGGACAGAGAAGCCTGGCATGTTGCAGTCCATGTGGTCACAGAGTCAGACACTACTGAGCAACTAAACTGAACTGAACTACATGTTCTTCACCAAGTCTAATGCTCCACATCTTCAAATCCCCTCCTCAGTATTATAGGAAACTCCTTCCAAAAAGACTCCCCAAAATTCCTGTGTTCTCTTTTGCTGTTGTTGAGTTGATAAGTTGTGTCCGACTCTTTGCAGGACCATGGAGTGCAACAAGCCATGCTCTTCTGTCCTCTACTATCTCCCAGAGTTTGCTCAATTTCATGTCCATTGAGTCAGTGATGCTATCTAACAACCATCTCATCCTCTGCTGCCTCTTTCTCCTTTTGCCTTCAATCTTTCCTAGCATCAGGGTCTTTTCCAATGAGTCAGCTCTTCGCATCAGGTAGACAATGTATTGGAGCCTCAGCTTCAGCATCAGTCCTTCCAATGAGCATTCAGAGTTGATTTCCTTTAGGATTGACTGATTTGATTTCCTTGCAGTCCAAGTAGCTCTCAAGAGTCTTCTCCAACACACCACACTTTGAAAGCATCAATTCTTCTGCACTCAGCCTTCTTTGTGGCCCATCTCTCACATCTGTACGTGACTACTGGAAAAACCATAGATGTGACCATACAGACTATTGTCAACAAAGTGATGTCTCTGCTTTTGAATATGCTGTCTAGGTTTGTCATAGCTTTCCTTCCCAGGAGCAAGCATCTGTTAATTTCAAGTCACCATCTAAAGTGATTTTGGAGCCCAAGAAAGGAAAATCTGTGACTATTTCCACTTTTTCCCGTTCTATTTGCCATTATATGATGGGACTGGATGCCATGATCTTAGTGTTTTGAATGTTGAGTTTTAAGTCATCTGTTTCACTCTCCTCTTTCAGTCTCATCAAGAGGCTCTTCACTTTCTGCCATTAGATTGGTATCATCTGCATATCTGAGGTTGTTGATATTTTTCCTGGAAATCCTGATTTCAGCTTGTGATTCATCCAGTCCAGCATTTTGCATGATGTACTCTGCATATAAGTTAAATAAGCAGAGTGACAATACATATCCTTTTCATTCTCCTCTCAGAATTTTGAACCAGTCTGTTATTCCATATCAGGTTCTATTTTATTCCAGGCTTTATCAAACTTTGGCTGGAAATGTAATTACATTAATAACCCAGTTTTACTGGTTTTTGCCTTTACCTGCTCATTGAGGACACTAGTCCCCCATATCAATGTCTTCAATCTCCAAGGCAGGTCATGCAAGTGCTCAGCTATGATCATTGTGAGTGCTGTTTTTCCATGTACTATAATCCTATCTCAGCTCCATTTAGATCATGATATAACCTTCGAATTACTTCACAGTTCACTTACAACAAAATCCAAAATTTAACCATGTTTCAACACCTCGCATGATCTGACCACTGCCTAGTTGTTCCCTGGCAACACTGGTCTCCCCCTCCTTTTTTTTAACTGAAGTGACATTGGTTTATAACATTATGTAAGTTTCATGTGTATGACATTATTGTTTGACATCTGTGTATACTTCTGCATCCCCAAAACCAAAAGTCTTGTTTCCGTTCATCACCTCATACTTGACCCTTTCTACCCATTTTTACCTCCCTTTCCTGCTCTTCCCATCTGGTAGCCACCAANTAAGTTTCATGTGTATGACATTATTGTTTGACATCTGTGTATACTTCTGCATCCCCAAAACCAAAAGTCTTGTTTCCGTTCATCACCTCATACTTGACCCTTTCTACCCATTTTTACCTCCCTTTCCTGCTCTTCCCATCTGGTAGCCACCAATTTGCTCTCTTTGTGTATGTGTTTTGATTTTTATATCCACGATGAGTGAAATCATACAACATTTGTCTTTCCCCATCTTTTTTCACTTGGATTGATATCTTTAGGTTTCATTCATATTTTCACAAATGGCAAGATTTCATTTTTGCTTAATGGTAGAGCACGATTTCATTGCATTACATATACTATACCTTCTTTATCCATTCATCTGTCAGTGGCCACTCAGATTGTTTCCACATCTTGGCTATTGTAAATAGTGCTTCAGTGAACACATGAGTGCATGTATCTTTTCAAATTATGTTTTTGTATTCTTCAGATAACTACCCCAAAGTGGAATAGTTGAATCTCCCAGAGGCAGCATATAATTGGATCTTGTTTTTTAATCCATCCAGCCACTCTGTATCTTAATTGGTGAACTAAATTCACTTGTATTTAAGGTGATTACTGCCAAGTGAGGACTTAGTACTGCCATTTAATCTTTTGTTTACTGGTTGATCTGTATCTCCATTGTTTCTTTTCCCTTGTGTTTCTCTCTGCCATTTTAGCTTGATAGTTTTCTATGATGTGTTTCTCAGTTTCCTCTTTTCTTACATTTTGTTCCTCTGCTCTAGATGTTTTATGGTTATCATGAGGTTTGTATAAAACATATCATAGGTAAAATAGTCCTTTTTCTGCTAATAGCAATTTATTTGCCTGTATGGATTCCGTTCTTTTGCTCTTCCCCTCTTAAGTTTTTGTTGTCTCAAATTAACCCTTTTAAAATTGTGAGTTCATTACCAAATTAAAGTAGGTATAGTAATTTTACTGCTTTTCCCCTTTAACTTTTACTCTATAACTGTTTAACAGTCTGTTCTGAAGTTGCAATTTTCTGATTCTATTCACCACTTTACTCAAAGTTTTGAATTCTTTTGCCTTTTTGTTTGAGTTAGAAGAGTTGTTTTCAACATCTCTTGTAAGGCAGGTTTAGTGATGATGAACTGGAGTATCTCATATCACCATGATATTGATGTCATCCCTGATCCTTTTTCTAACATTCATCTCCATTTACGCCTGAAGGACTTTGTACTTGGTGCATCTCTGTCTGAAATGCACGTTTCCCAGATCTCAAAACAATTGGTTATCCTGTAATATCAAGGCTTATCTCATATGGGATCTCTCCAGAGAGGCCTTCCTGGACTGCTCAAACTAAAGTTGGCTCTTCCCTTGGTCACTTTCTATTACTGTTTCATTTTCCTTTTTTATTTTTTAGCTAATTTATTGCTTAAGATTCCTATCAGCAAAGTATAAACCCCATAAAGGTGAACTCTTTATCTTGTTTACTACTGTGTCTTTAGTACCTAGAACATTATCTGGCACATAATAATAAAGAATCATTGTAGACTCATAAATGAATACTCATTACCCAGAAAGCTGCAGGCGCCTCATCATTAACACCAGTACTGCTGTATGCCTTGAGAACACTGAGGTCTGTGTCAAAGGAGGCAGTGAAATATAATAGTTAGGACTGTGACTTCTTTTGAATCTGGCTCTGCAATTAATGAGAAGTGAAATGTTGGGTGGGTTATTCAGTTTTAGATTAATATTACCTTCTCTTCCTCACTAAGTTGTTGGGAGAATTAAATAATAAAATACATGTAAAACACTTAGAACAGAGTTTGACTTTCAGCAAGTATGCCAGAAAATAGGAGCCATTATATTCTTATTTTATTAGTTAGGATCCTTTTAGTTGCAAATGAAGAAACAAACAAGCCAGCTTATGTAGCAAAGAGAAATTTATTATATAGTAGTAGAGGTGTTTCACAGAACCCAAAGGCAGGAATGCCTCTAGGCCTCAGGAAAGAGCTAGAATCAAGAGTTGGAAAGCCATCAATAAATGTTCTCTCTCCATCTCTCATTGTGGATTTTCTCCATAACTCCCCCCCACTGTTTAATCTTCTTGTTCTGTATCCACAGTAACTTTCCCTTCTCCTCGACTTCCCTCTTCAGAGCCCGAACTTATAGGCAAAGCCACTTGCAGACACTGACAGCCATTCATTGTTCTCTGTTGTAGATTCCAAGGGGTGATAATCTGAGTAGCCCTTGTGAGTCTGATATCTACCCCCATCAATCAGCCAATTATATTGTGATGCAGTACAATTATAGCCGCAAGTGACCACTATATATGGTTTCAAGGAAGGGACCTCTTCTTTCACTCCTGAGAAGAGCAGATATCCCCAGAGGAGTCCACTGCACAGACCTTCCCAATGCTGACAATTCAGAGGGTTGGACCAGCTCCAGGACTTCAGCAGGCATGGAGAGAATGCCCTGGCCTTCTGTTCCTTGAGCCAGTCAACAGGCCTGTGCCCCTAAGACTCCCAGAATCACTTTGGCTCCCTACCGAGGACACTCACCAAACTAGAGACCTATCTTCTTCATGACTTCATCCCCTGCCAACTCCAAACATGCATAAATTTCCTTCTGACAGCTTTCAACCTTCATAAAGATCAACCTAAGCAAGTAAAAGACTTGTGAGGTTGCTGGTGCCATGACTTCCTCACACACACTCTTCTGCCACTCCAAGCCCATGCACAGCCTATATTTTCACATCTAGAAAGGTCTCCACCCAAATCACTTAAAACCAAGGACACTCATGTTTTAACTGATGCGTTTTATTGCAGAACTCTTTAGGTAGGAACAAGGTGTGCTAGGCAAAGGAGACTTGTACCCTAGGAAATGGAGACACAGGTCAGTTTTATGCCCAGTTGCAGCAGTGACAGCTGGTGTCAAAGACAAGCCCGGTGGGGCAATTCTGCTCGTATGTGATTCCATTTGCGCAGTTCCAGAAGGCATTTCTGTTATTCGCCACTGGGTAGAGGCCATCAGCTTTGTCGGCACAGTATCCTCTACCCTCAGAGCTGCTGCTCTCATTTCCACTCCCACTTTCATTTCCAGGATTGCTGCTGGGCTCACTGGTCGGAGTGGAGGCGCTACAGGCTGAAATAGCACAAGAGCAGACCTGGCAGAGGCTCCCAGGTTCACCTAGAGGTGAAGAACTAGCAGGCCTGAGGTGAGGTCTGGAGATGGGTTGCTGTTGGCTCTGGGTCCTGACACCTGAGAAGCTCACAAGGTAACTCCATACTTAGGAATTAAGAGCAGCCCTAATTTCAAGCCAGCCTGGTTTTAAATTTTAAAAGTTCTCTCTTAAGATGCTCAAATCATTTTTAAAAATTTTTACTGAGCATCCAGGATATGCAAAATGGTTTTCTAGGATTTGGGTTTACGTGGTGAGCAGGTAAGCTCTAAGAGAAAATCTGGACAAAATTTAGAGAATTGGTACTTCCCCTGAATTACAGGTTTAGAAATATGTCAGTATGGGCTTCCCTCTTAGCTCAATTGGTAAAGAATCTGCCAGCAATGCAGGAGACCTGGGTTCGATTCCTAGATCGGGATGATCCCCTGGAGAAGGAAATGGCAACTCACTCCAGTATTCTTGCCTGGAGAATTCCATGGACAGAGGAGCCTGGCAGGTTACAGTCAGTCCATAGGGTCATAAGAGTTGGACACAACTTAACGACTAAACCCTAAACCCACCCCAGTACTGCTTAGGGTTTGTTATTCAGTCTCCCCAGGCAGGCTAAAGACTTTTAATAAGGGGTTCATAGAAAAGTAAATGCTAATATTAAAGGCCAGCCTAATTTCTTGAGGCTTTTCCACACCTTTAAAACTTAGTAGACCTGGAAAACCCTCCCAGCAGACCTGGTTTCTCATTAGAGCATACAACTGCTAACGAGGAAAGAATGTTAAGTGCCTGTCTCTCAGCCAGGCAACAGTGATGAGGAGACTCCTGGGGGCAAAGGGAATGGGAAGATGTTAGGCTGTCTTGAGTTGGAAAAGGAGCATCTATACACCCTGGGCATTCCCCTACTGTCACTTACTTGCACTCTTCAGGCCAAGAGCATCCTTCAAGGTGTTGATCAGGGGGAACTTGCCCTGGTTGCAGAAAGTGCCTGTGAAATCATCCAGGTCAATGGCCCAGACCATGGCACCACCAAAGTTGTTCTCCTTAAGCCACTGAGCCTATTTAAGGATTGAGGACACCAGGAATCATTTTATTTCTTGAGACTCTGGGCTGAGCTGACAGCACATTGGAGGGGCTGACCTTACCTTGATTCTGAAGCTGTTAACATTGTCATAGCCAACCCACTCAGTGCCCTTGTAGGCATAGGGCACGTCCTGAGAGTCATCCCATACCTCAGTGGCTCCATCTTTCAGGAAGGTGCAGATCTTTAAAAATCCAAGAGATTAAAATCATTTAAATATGACTCCCATGAAAAATAAAACATACACCTTCCTCTTTGATATTTTTTCCTGTCATGTCCCCAGGAGTCTCCTCATTGCTGTTGCCTGGCTGAGAGACAGGCACTTACCACAGGTTTCTAATTATGGCCTTTTACCTGCAGTAAATAGGAACAAGTTGTTTTTGAAATACTCAGATGTTAGCCTTATTCTTAGTGCTTGATTTTGGGAACCCACATCAGTATGGGAGATAGTTACTTAATTCCCTTAAGTGTTAATATAAATGACCTTAAGTATGCAGTGTGTTGTTTGAATGGGCTTCCCTGGTGGCTCAGCAGTAAAGAATTCACCTGCAATGCACAAGATGTGGGTTCAACTCCTGAGTTGAGAAGATCCCCTGGAGAAGGAAATGGCAACCCACTCCTGTTTTCTTGCCTGGAGAATCCCATGGACAGAGGAGCCTTGCAGGCTAGTCCATGGAGTTGCAAAAGAGTCAGACATGACTTTGCAACTAAACAACAAGCAACAACAATTGTACTTTGAAGGGATATTGCACACTATGAATCTTCATACTGGATTAGGTAAATGAATAGGTTACTTACACACCTGAAGCGTTTGGAATAATATTTGTGTTAAAGTTTGTAAATAGTGGACAGAATGAACATTCAAGCTTCTTGTAAGTCCTAGCCCTAAGGCTACTGTGCAGCACAGGACATGGCATTCCTAGAATTCCAATTGTGCAGCCCAGCATACCTACCTCATAGTAGGCCCAGAACCCAGCCTCCCTGGTATAGGGCCCAGCAGGACCAGCGCCAGAAGTGGGGGCACCGATGCCATTGTTGGAAGCGTCTCTTAGGGTGAAACTGTGTCCATAGGCAGGGAATCCAACGATAAGCTTCTCAGCCGGGGCCCCATTGTTCTTCCAGTAGTTCATGGCGTATTCCTGAAAAGGTAGCAGGTGAGTTAGAGACCCACCCAGCTGAAGACCCCACGCTTTGTTATACTAGTCCACTGACCTAACGGGTAAAATTTAACGATGCTCATGACATAGATTAGTTTGTACTTTTTCAAAAATATTTTGGTGAGGTTATAGTTAATGAGATAAAAGCAGTCATTTAGGAGAGTTATCCAAATGAGACTTCTGCTGAATTTATGTTTGTTTTGTCCCTGAATCTGCATGTAATTTACAACATCTCTGGTCTGCATCTGCTTCTGTGTGGAGACTCACCACATTGAGGTAAGCATTGCTGCCAGTGTCAGTTGGGTATTTGTAGAGAGGGCTGTTCTCTCCGGTGTAGCCTTCCCAGGAACCATGGAAGTCATAGGTCATGACATGGATAAAGTCCAGGTACCTGAGGTTAGAATAAAGGGTTGTAAAGCATTTCCCATGGCTATTTCCCACATTTATGTGGGCATCCCTGGTAGCTCAACAGTAAAGAATTCACCTACCAATGCAGGAGACACAGGTTCTGAACCTGGGTAGAGAGATCCCCTAGAGATGGAAATGGCAACTCACTCCAATATTCTTGCCTGGGAATTTCCATGGACCTAGGAGCCTGGTGGGCTACAGTCCATAGGGTCCCAAAAGAGTTGGACATGACTTAGTGACTAAATAACAACAGTAGTTATGTCCCACATTTAAGCGAGCAAAAGATACCACTTCCGAAACACGCTAAACAAAGTCCCTTGGGTAGCAAGACAAAGGACAAGTCTACCTTACAAGAGTGATGCCTGCAAGAGGTTTGAGGATAAGGTGAGTCACTCACTGGGATAGCTGGGGAATTTCATAGCCAGCTTGGATATTGGAGATGCCAGCAGCTACTGCCGCAGTGACCAGCAGCCTGGGCTTGTTGGTTTGCTTGGCTTCCTGTTCAAAAGCTTCACGTGTTTCCTATAGAATAATCAAGTATAGTAAAGCATCTATGAAACTGATTTCAACCCCTTAACTATTAATAAATTTATATTTATATAATGCTTTACTTTTTCAAAGTGCTTTCACATATTTTATCTTACTTTTGTTTCTCAATACCCCTATAAAGTAGACAGGATTGATGGTATTAATTTTATAGCTAATATATGTATAAGTTAGACTATTTCACCAAAGTCTCACAGCAAGTTAGTAGCCAGGTCATGACCAAAACCCACGTCCCAGATGATCAGTCAGAGCTCTACTTATATCACTGCACTATGAAGTTATAGTTGCTGTAATAATTTATATCCAGGTTTTAGAAGTACAGAAATTTGCTTTCCTTTGTCCAGTAAATGAGCTACTTTATTGGAAAGTAAAACTTTTCAACAAATGAAAAGTTCAATTGGTCAATGGGGAAGCTATTAACAGCCAGGTGATAGATTCCCATTCAGTGCTAGAGGTTAATCCATCTTTATTGTGTGACTCTAATCTCATCTTGAGTACTGAATTCAGTTTTCATAAACGCGTTATTAGGGTGTACCAAAGTGTGCTCCAGTGAAGAATGTGTCTAAAGATTGTCATACATATGCTTATTAAATGAACTAGGTTATTTAACTAGAAGATGAAAAATTATTAACAAGATAGTATAGCTGTCTTCAAATATTGGACCAACCGATATATTACCAAAGGGAGAAGATTTATTCTTTGTTAGTTCAGTGAACAGAGCTAGAACCAATAATTGGAAGTTATTAATTGTGACTGGAAGTATGCCTTGACTAAGAATATAGATGTTCTTTTTGGTCACTAGAGCTCATCAACAAGTAAGTGGATTAATTTTTCAACCAATGAATTACTTAATGTTGAAATTATTGGATAGTGGCAGACAATCTGGTATAACAGATGGTATAGGAAAAATGTCTATCTTGGGGGAGGATAAATTTATGAAAGCCTTCCTCAGTGATCAATGCAAAGAAATAGAGGAAAACAATAAAACGGGAAAGACTAGAAATCTCTTCAAGAAAATTAAAGATACCAAGGGAACATTTCATGCAAAGATGGGCTCAATAAAGACAGAAATGGTATGGACCTAACAAAAGCAGAAGATGTTAAGAAGAGGTGGCAAGAATACACAGAAGAACTGTACATAAAAGATCTTCATGACCCAGATAACCACGATGGTGTGATCACTCACCTAAGGCCAGACATCCTGGAGTCCAGAGTCAAGTGGGTCTTAGGAAGCATCACTATGAACAAAGTGGAGGTGATGGAATTCCAGTTGAGCTATTTCAAATC